CAGAATGGCAATTATCAACAACTCAAAAAATAACAGCTGCTGGAGAGGGTGTGGTGAAAAGGGAACACTTCTACACTGCTGGTGGGAGTGTAAACTAGTGCAACCTCTGTGGAAAGCAGTGTGGCGATTCCTAAAAGCTCTAAAAATTGACCTTCCATATGACCCTGCAATCCCCCTACTGGGAATATACCCTGAAGAACACAAATCACTCTATAAAAAAGATACCTGCACACGTATGTTTATCGCAGCGTTGTTCACAATAGCAAGAACCTGGAAACAACCATGCTGCCCATCAAAAGAGGACTGGATTAAAAAAATGTGGTACATATACACGATGGAATACTACGCAGCCATAAAAAAGAACAAAATCATGAATTTCGCAGCAACCTGGATGGAACTAGAGTCTATAATACTGAGTGACCTCACACAGAAACAAAGATCAGAATATCACATGTTCTCACTCATATAATGGACCTTGAACATCCAATGTAATACTATAAGAAAATGACTGACGGTACTAGGAAACTATGGGGGGGAGGGAGATGGGATTAACAGTAGCAAATATCTGTCTGGGGCTGGGAAAACACCTCTTATCAACAGGGTGTCTGAATGAAACGTAATTGTACACCTAACCCTTAACTGTACCCCACAAAACTATAATAAAAATACTGATTAATTATTAAAAAAAAAAATATGTGATCTTGCCCTATTGTGATTATTATATGTATATTAATTCATTGTATTTTAGTAATTCACTTTTATATTAATTGATTAATATATTATATTACTGATTATAATATAATTTCTAAAATTTTGAGGTGAACACATAAAAATTAATAAAAGCATAAGTTCTAATGTTATGAATACCCGAAATACTTTTTAGTACATTACAGGGTTACATTTGCTCAAATATGGAGAGGATGGCTAGACTACAGCTGAATTTTATTTTAAAAATTAATAAGGAATTCAGCCATCAATTGAAAGTATAAGCCCAGGCTTACAGATTGCCTGGTTAGGACAAGAGCTCAGACGATATGGCCCCTAATCAGCTGCTTCATCTAGCATACTGCACTGCCTTCTCAGGGCTGCTTTCATATCCTTATTCCTCAGACTATAGATGATGGGATTCAGCGTTGGGGGCACAACTGTGTAGAACACAGACAGGAAAACATCCAGAACAGAGGGAGAACTTGAAATGGGCTTCACATAGGCAATGCTGCCAGATATCATAAAGAGTGTTACAACCACAAGGTGTGGAATACAGGTAGAGAATGCTTTTGATCTACCCTCCTTAGATGAAATTCTCATAATGACAGAAAAAATGTACATATAGGAGAGAGTTATTAAAACAAAGCAAATTATCACAAGACTTGTAACAAGAATCATGACTCCAATCTCAATGACAATTACTTTGCAGTCCAGGAGGCTTAGGAGTTGTGGAATATTACAAAAAAATTGGTGTATTTTGTTGAGTCCACAGAATGATAATGCGAATGTTGCTGTCACATGCATGAGCCCACAGATCATCCCACTGAGCCATGATATGGCCATCATCTTCACACAGGCACCTTTGTTTATGATGGCCTCATAATGTAAGGGCCAGCAGATGGCCACATAGCGGTCATAGGACATCACTGTAAGGATGGCGACCTCAGTAGTTGCCAAGTACATGAAGAAAAAGACTTGCAGATCACATCCAAAGAAAGAAATGGAGGTATCATGAGTCAAGGAACTGACAATAGACTTGGGCACTGTGACAGAGATGTAGCAAAAATCTAAGAAAGACAAGTTTCTCAAAAAGAAATACATTGGGGTTTGCAGGTGAATATCCAGTGTGGTGAGCATGATGATTAGGAGGTTTCCTATGAGAGCTGCCAGATAAACTAATAAAAATATGGCAGCATGTACCATCTGACTCTCCCAGGAGTCTGAAAATCCCATGAGGAGAAATTCAGCAACTTCACTTCTGTTAACATCACTTGTAGTCATTCCATTTCTTCCTAAGAAGAGAGAAGAGTGGCTTATGGTTACCCAAAATTATATTTCTGAAACAAACTTGTGATCACTAAATAAAAGATAACCTTTGTGCAAGTTTGGATACCATCTTTCTAAACCTAAATCTCTATGACACAGCAGAGTGCCTCATACAAAGCATTTTCTCAATAAATACATCCTGGTATGTAAGATGTAAGGAAGAGGCACAACCAAAATGCAAAATAACAACAGAGAATGTATAACAACAATGAAGTAATCAACAAAAAATATAGAATGAACAAAATAAAAGAAGTGCACATACTTGGAGAAAAAATGAGTATCAGTATTATTACCATCTATTGACTATACATATATACTTCATTTTCAAGCAAATTATTTGTTTTTTATGTGTTAAAGATAGCATTGCAAATTGTTTGTCATAGTTCTCTTTGGTTTTGGTTTTAAAAAATGAAAGTGAGCCAGGCTTGGTGGCTCAGCCTGTAATCCCGTGCCTTTGGGAGGCTGAGGTGAGTGGATTGCCTGAGCCCGCGGGTTCGAGACCCGCCTGGGCAGCGAGACCTTATCTCTACAATAAATCAAAAAATCAGCCGGGCGTGGTAGCGCATGCCTGTAATTCCGGCTACTTGGAAGGCTGAGGCAGAAGGATTGCCGGAGCCCAGCAGGTCGAGGCTGCGGTGGCCGGGAGCGGCCACTGTACTCCAGTCTGGGCGACAGAGTGAGACTTCAACTCAAAAAAAAAAAAAAAAAAAAATGAAAGTGATTACTTGTAATCTGGAAAAGACTCCTTATCTCATAACTATTAAGTGAAATTATAGTCATAGCCTTTCAAAAATGTATCAGAAGACCTTCTTAAATACGTTATAAGCTCTTTGGGTGAAATATTTCACAAGAAACAATTCTTGAATTCAAAATTTGAACAATCAAATGAAGAGCATAGTGAAATAAAATACTATCAGAGTATGATATTATAAACAATAGCAGAAGGGATAAGAACTCATCATAGTGGATTGCATCAGAAAAGAGATTGGTCTTATTTTGTGTTTATTGGAAGACTTGCAGAGACCATATCTAGGTTAGGTCCTAAGAAGTATTTTACCAAATGAGTTTTAGATTGGTGATTTTAAAGAGAACCACCTGGTAAAAGGCAGAAGGACAAAAATATTTGTGGTAAAATTTGGCTATGAATATGGAATATGGGTATGGATTAGCTAGAAAATTTGCACTTAAGTCAGTCTAATCTTTTTGCTGGTCCTCAGAGTTCATATTCAATGTTGAGATGAAAAATAGAATGTTGAGTATGATGTATTCAAGAGACCTAAACATAATGGGCAATTTTTATAATAATCTTTCTAAGCATCTGTCACCCATTTAATTTGATTTTTAAGTGTTGTTTTCTTTTGGTTTAGCTCAGTAAATATTATCCAAGTTTAGATCCCAGATTTCTGCAATGTGTCAAGCCAAACTCTGAAATGGATTTTTGCTCTTACCAAATTATATAGCAAATTTATATACAAAATACAGTGTCAATTTAGAATGTACAATTTGAAGAGTTTTGAAAGTTGCATATGTCTATGAAACCAGCACCACAATCAGGACACACTATTTTCATTATATCCAAAAGATTTCGTATACATCTTTGTATATAATCTCTCCCTCTGCCAATTCTCACTTCTAAGCAATCAGGGATTTTCCTAACTTTTTAGGGCCATCACACCGGAAAATAAAACCATCACACTGGAAAATAAAATCAAAATAAATCAACCATCACACTGGAAAATAAAACCAAGAAGGAGTCAACTAAGTGCCTCTCTGCTAAAAAAAAAAAATCTGATATTTCTACTAGTTCTAGCTTTCTCACATTGGTTGGCTAGATAGCCTGTTGTTAGAGGAACAGATGCAATCAAGTGGAAAGAAAAATGCTTGTGTGACCACGCAAAAGAATTAACTTCATTTTAAGTGAGGTGACACTATCATAAGGATAAATATCAAGGGTCTAATATGAGGACTATTATGCAGAATTGAGGAAAGGCATTGAAATTGCCTAATTATGAATTTTTTTAAAAATCCAATCAATGCACATATTTTAAAATGTGCACAGAACATCCCTTTCATTCAACACACACACACACACACACACACACACACACACAGAGAGAGAGACACACACACACCAGAACTTTCCCCACTGAAAGGAAACACAGGCCCATGCTGTCCCGCCACAGGCTGAGACCCACACACATCCACATGCCCTCTCCTCCCCACACTCTCAAGGACGTGCTCTGCTCACTCCCAGATCCTGAAACACAGTCACCGAAACAAAAGGAATGGATGCATATTTTGAAATTCATGGTTCTTTATCTGTAAAATTAGATAAGAACATGGTATGGAAAGCCATAAGCGCAATCTATTAATTGAAAAATAAAATGATATTTGTATGGTTTTATTTTCCAAAGTCATGATACTGAACTTACTGCATGGTGTGGGCTGATTTCTGCTGAACTGGGACATGGAGCAACTTCAGTTCAAAATTTCAAACTCCTGTTTCTTTGTAAAAGAACCTCAGTTTATCTGAATATATAGCAAATCAAATTTTTAAATGCCTTAATCTCACAATGTGACTGCCAACCTTAAACTTAGATTACAAATATATTTATCTTCTCCCTAATTCAGAAACATGTAGACGAGTACCACATCTGGGTTTTCTTTAGCTGTGATTCAGTCTTTGTGATAAAATGGTGGTTAATAACTGACATCTGGTGAAAGACACTTTTCATAATACTGAGGTCTCTGGAGATAAGATTCCTCATATCTTAAATATGTCCTTGGGGATCAAGAAGCAAAGCAGAGCTTTGATTAGTTCCAGTGGCTAGCACTAAAGTTCAAGTGCCTTATTGTTCGATGTAGGATAAAAGAATGGGAATTCATTAAATAGTATAATCTTCCACACACCCATAGACTCAATTAGATAGGACACTTGTACTGAGAGTGGAAGAAGAAATGATCAATCATTATACTCAGACAACAGGCATAAACCCAGTCAGACATTCTGGAACTAGATTTCCATTAACATTTTTATTCTTCCCCAATGGGTATATTCTTGCCCTTTTTGCATCCCTTTCTATCCCAAGTCAATTTAGTACATAAACAGTAAGTTTTAAATGCAGAAATAATCTGTTACCCTTGTCTTAAGACCTTGCTGTGCATTTCTTTGATATTAAAGATAAAACTTCTTGGTGGCTCAGCCTGTCATCCCAGCACTTTGGGAGGCCAAGGAAAGCGGATTGCCTGAGCCCAGGGGTTTGAGACCAGCCAGGGCAACTTGACGAGCCTCGTCTCTACAATAAAATAAAAAATAGCCGGGTGTGGTAGCACGTGTCTATAGTTCTGGCTACACAAAAGGCTGAGGCAGAAGGATCGCAGGAGCCCAGAAGGTCAACGCTGGGGTGGCCGTGAGCATGCGTGAGCATGGGCGAAGGAGTGAGACTCCGACTTAAAAAATAAAAAGTAAAAGAATAAATAAATAAAGATAAAATTTATTGACACAGCATATATACTTGAATGCCCTGGCTCTTATCTAACTCTCTTTCTCATTTGATGTTATTCCTCACCCCTTCATGGTTTGAGTGACCTCTGGATGACCTCTTCTGTGGTGTGCTATACAAATATTTCTTCATTTAAAACTGAGTTTAATTTTATTAGTATGTAGGAATTATTTTTATATTATGAATGCTAATCTTTGTTGTTGAAACATTGTAGATAATTTTTCAAGTTTGTATTTTGATATTCTCCTCATGATGTCTCTGAGAAATAGAAATTATTGATTTTAATGTAGTTTTTCTATAAATTCTTCACTTTTGAAATTTGTTTTAGCTTCTGGTTTTGCTTTTTTTTTTTTTGAGTTGGAGTCTCACTCTGTCGCCCAGACTGAAGTGCAGTGGCTGCTCCCGGCCACCGCAGCCTCGACCTGCTGGGCTCCGGCGTTCCTTCCGCCTCAGCCTTCCAAGTAGCTGGAACTACAGGCGTGCACTACCATACCTGGCTGATTTTTTGATTTATTGTAGAGATGAGGTCTCGCTGCACAGGTGGGTCTCGAACCCGTAGGCTCAGGCAATCCACTCACCTGAGCCTCCCAAAGGCGCAGGATTACAGGCTAAGCCACTGAGCCCGGCTCTAGCTTCTGTTTTTTTGTTGTTGTTTAAGACTTGCTTCCCTAGGAATGACACCAGCAAGTGGTGGAACAGGACTTTCCAATTCTCATCCCCTCACAAAAACATCAACTTAAACTGCTATTTATGCTTCACAAATCCTAAACAAGAGCTAAGGAAACTAGATGAGGTATTGCAGCATCTGTGTGTAACACATAAATTTTTTTTAAAAATGCAGTGAAGAGGAAAGTGTTGGAGAAGGAAAGTGAAGTGAGCACCAAACTTTGCTATGGACCCAACACCATGTCCACCTCAGTAAAACCCAGCACCATCCAGTCCCCATGCTCCAAGCTGGCCATGCAGATACCATTTCCAGGTCTGCCCTACTTCCAGATCAGCCTCAGAAGCCCCAGGCTCCCATATTGTTCCCTGTACTAGGCCAGCCCCCGCCTATAAACAGACTGAAAAAACAGTACTTGTTAGGCCTGCCCTATAAACAGACTGAAAAAACAGTACTTGTTACCAGGATGGCACCCTTGGATTCAACCTCCAGTCCCAACCCAGTACAGGGAAGCTCCATAGAAATAGGCTTCAGACCTACTTGAGGTTCCAAGCTTGCCCACCATCAGGCCAACTCCAGTGACTCCAGAGTGCTCCAATGCCAGGCCAGATCCCGTAACCTCGGGCGTCAGGCCAACCCCAGAACCGGATCAACTCTAAAGACTCCAGCTCCAGCCTATCCACCATGGCCTCAAGTCTCATGCCAGAAATAGCAGACCCAATATCGTGCTGGCCCCCACAGATACCGGATCCAGACCTACCCACCCAGCGCCAGATCAGCTTTCCCTTCTCTAGACTCCAGGACAATCAGTGTGAAACTAGTATCTAGTTCCATCCCAGTGCCATCTCATCACCAACAAACCCCAGTGCCAGGATAGTCCCTGTGGCCACTGGCACCAGGATGACATCCATAGATACAACCTCCAGGCTGTCCACTGTGGTTACACACTATAAGCCCACCCAGTGCCAAGGTGGCCCCTGTGATTCAAAGCTCTAACAGACCCAAGCTTCAGACCTAATCCAGAAAACTCATTTCAGAATAGTCCAGCCCCTGGCAAGTCTCCACAGTCCCAGGCTCTAGGCAAACCTTCACAGACCAAGCCAACAGACCAGCACCCGTATATTCAGTCTCCAAGATGGTCCTTCATGAACTAAGACTCAAGGCCAACCCTTTTGGATCCAGAATTCAGGACAAGCAAAGCAGACCTAAGCTCTAGGTCCACCTAAGTAGACCAAGTCTATGGACCCAGGGGCCAGCCCAAACACCTGCTGACTCAGACACAAGGACAGCCTGCTTGAGGACTCCAGGAGCAAGCCACAGATCCTGACTGATAGGCTTCCCGGAACATCTGAATGGGATGAATGGGATGAAGGGTTTTCCATTCCAAATACAGTCTATAAAGACCAGAATAAGTGCCTATTCCTCAAATATACAGTCACCAACATATAGTCACACAAATCACAAGCAACCAGGAAAACATGGAACCACCAAAGGAAAATAAATCACCTGTATCTGACCCTAAAGAAATGAAGATATAAATAAATTAAAATAACCATCCTGAAGAGACTCAATGAGCTACAAAAGAATACAGATAGATAATTAAACAAAATTAGGAAAATCATACACAAATAAAATGAGGTTCAGCAAAGAAAAACATTTAAAATAACAAAATGTAAATTCTAAAGCTAAAAAAACACAGTGAATGACTGAACTGAAAATTTCATAAAGAGCTTCAACAGCAGACTCAATCAAGCAGAAGAAAGAATCAGTGATTTCAAACGCAGGCCATTAAAAAATGCCTAATCTGAGGAAGAAAGAGAAAAAAGAGTGAAAAAAACCTACAGTAATTATGAGATAATTAAGCAACCCAATACAGTCATGCACTGCATAACAGTTTTTGTCAATGACAGACCACATATATGACAGTAGTCTCATAAGATTATTTTGGAACTGAAAAATTTCTATTGCCTAGTGATGTTGGAGCCATTGTAATGTCATAGCAAAATGTATTACTTATGTATTTGTGATGATGCTGGTGTAAGGAAACCTACTCTGCCAGTAGGTTTGTATAAAAGTTTACCATGTGCAATTATGTACAAAGCATACTTATGATAATAAATGACTGTGTTACTGGTTTCTGTATTTATTGTACGGTTACTTTTATCATTATTTTGGAATGTACTTTTCACACAACTGCACTCTAGATTGAGTGACAGAGGAAGCATACTCTATTTTTTTTTTAATTTACTGTAAAACAGTATGTCATGTTACACTGGCAACAGCTTCATGGATTTTGTGTTTAATTTGTCTCTTAAATTGAATGATTTTCTCTTGTGCTTTATCTAATCTTATGTTGTTTTGTTTATCATAGTACCTAAGCATACAAATTCACTGGTGATGATGCCAGTAAAAAAAAAAATTACAACAAGTAATTGACTTGGAAACAAAATTAAAAGTGGTAAAAACTACAAAGGTGGAAAACAAGTGATGATCATTGCTCTCCAGTCAGGAATGCCCCATTCTGTCACAGCTATGATCTTGAAAAACAAGAACAAAGCTATCAAAGGTTCGACTTTACTGAAGGCAATGAGACTAACAAAAATTCAAGGAGTATTTATATCAGATATGGAAAAACTTCCCATGACTTAGATTGAATGCCAAACATAGAAGCATATTCCTCTCAGCACCTTGACAATCATGACCAAAGCAAAAAGTGTGTTTATGATGCTAGAACTCACTAAGATGTTGAATTTACTGCTAGTTCTGGGAGATTTGAGTGATTACGGACTTGTTATTCATTCTATAACATCAAAGTAAGTGGTGAATCTGTGAATGCAGATGTGAAGGTAGCTGAAGAAGTTTTGGAAACTCTATATAAGCTGATTGTGGAGAAAAATTACTTTCCAGAGCAAATCTTCAATATGTTTTATTCTTTCTGCCCATGTTTTAAAGCTGCATTCAGTAGAAGAAAGGGTAAAATGTGTTTGCTCTGTCCTACATGGACTATATACTCTGATATGAACTTCTCATTCTTTTTCTCTCCTAAAGCCATTGTGTCACATTGTTTTTTGCTTATTTTTTGTTTGTTTGTTTGTTTGTTTGTTTTGAGTTGGAGTCTCACTCTGTCACCCAGGCTGGAGTTCAGTGGCATTTGCTTGCCTGTTTGTTTGAGACTGGGTCCTCCTCTGTCACACAGGCTAGAGTACAGTTGTGTAATCCTAGCTCCCTGCAGCCTTGGACTCATAGTTTCAAGCAAACCTCCCACTTCAGCCTCCTGAGAATTCACACCACACCCAGATAAT